CTATAGTAAGAGACAAGTCTAATAAATTCGCTTAATATCATAATATTAGTGAATACTGGAAATTTCTATACTTTTTTTATTTTTGTTAGATCAAAATGAATTCTATTTTTATTAATAATATAATCTAGAAAAGATAGCTAGTTGTTTTCAAAAGTATATTTATCTAATTAGAGCTTTAGATTTGTCTATTAACATGAATTACATATTCTTCTCAAGTTTCAGAGTATATAGTTATGTCATTCAAGTATATAACTATAAATTTTTTAATATACTTCTTAAAGATTTTATTAATGAGTCTTTAAAAAATGACAAAAGTATTTATAAGTTCAAATGATATTATATTAAAGTGAAATAAATCCTGATTAATAATAAATGCAGTTTTTTCTTGATCTCTTAGATGTATTTTTACTTGCCAAAATCTGCTAGCAAGATTTATAATAGTAAAATATTTGATATTTTTAAAAGAATTTAATAATTATTAATCTGTGACAAGAAGTATTAATTCTTTTTGATAACTTCATTTAATTTTCTATAATTTATATATAGCTAGAACTTCTCATTCTTTTTTCTCACTATTACTATTAATACTGATTAAGAGCTATCAGAAAAAGAAATTATTTTATTATTCAATATCTTTTGAATTTCTTTTTTCAGAAAGATATTTTTTATAGATGATTTTTGATGGTATGGCCAAAGAATAATGAATATTTCTTCTTTTAAATATATTTCATATTAAAATATATTTGTTCTATCAGGCTGAATTATGTCAAAAAAATCTTTATATGAATTCAGAATTTGATATAAATATTATTATTATTCTGAATCTAAATCTGACTCAATCATAATTGGAGTGATATTCAAGAATGATTGAGATAATATCTCTAATTATCTATATATATTCTGTTCTGTCTTATATTAAGCATATTCATATTCTCTTCTATCATGAATATAAATATTATAATCTTCTAGTTTTTCTCATTGAATTCTTTCTTTTTCTTTCTGTTTGATGTTTTTATTATTAATTTTTATAAAGTTTTCTTGAACTTTCACCTTTATCACAAGCTACTCACTTTACTCTTTATATATTATGTACAAGAACTGGTCAATTGATTCTTCTTCTTTATATTTAAATTCATTATCTTTATTCTCAAGAATAGGATTTTTAAGTTTTTTCTCAAGACTAATCAACTTCATGATTGATCTCTGTTAAGTACAGATAACTGAGATAATTATAGACTCTTTCATTATCTCCAAGCTTAAGAGTTCTTCATCCTAATTTAAAATAACTTTGAATTATTTTGCCTATTAGTTATCAAGCAATAGATCATATTCTGTTTTTTCATAATCAAGATATTTACTTATTAACTTAGATTTCTAATTTTTATTTTTAATTCTTCTACTTTATCTAGCAGTCATTCAAACTTTCTATTTATGTCTATGAGACTGATATTAGATGATTATCAATTTGTTTATTTATTTATTTTAGGAATCTAGCTAATATGACATTACTAATAGATACATTATCAATTATTATTCTGATAAGTTGATTTTCTACTCTCCCTTCATAATGAATTGCATTTACTATTTTTCTATTCTTTTTTTCTAGATTTTTATTTTTCTTTATAGTTTCAGTTAATAATTATTATAAAAATATTATTAAAGATTTTTGGAGTTGACTCATACTTTAATCTCTCTCAGATATGGATTCTAGTTTAAATGTAAAATATTACTGTTATTAGTAATGATATTAGTAGATAAAGATGTAATAGATTATTTATCAAGAAGTTATTGTAATTGCTACAATAAAAGATTATTATCTAAAATTATGATAGTAATATTAGTTCCAAGATTAGCTAGTTATCTAGCATTTATATTTCTTTCTGTATAGCTATTAGTATAATATTCTATTTTATTATATTTAAAATATTTAATATTTAAGATACTATTATTATTACTATTATTCATATTCTTTCTTAATAATCTATAATCACAAGCTATATGATTATTCTTTCCATAGTTATAACAAGCCTTATTTTGATTGAGATAACTATTAAAATTTCAGTTATTCTGAGTAGATAACTTTTTTACTTGTTCAGTAAGGTTAACTATGACTTTACTCATATTATTTACTGAATTTGAAGTAGTAAAAGAAATATTAAGATTTTATGATATAAAAGATATAGAGTTAAGAAGATTCTGATATATTTATCTATAATTAGACTCAATATTGATCACTTTTATAATTGCTACTTCTAAAATATCTGGATTAAACTTATTTACATAAAAGATAATTTCTAATTTCAAGTCTTTCACAAATTACTTAATATTATATATAACAGGATATACTTGTATTAGATTAATTTTCTGAAGTAGTATATGAATATCTTCTGTATATAAAGTTATATCTTCATTTGCTTCTTGTATTCTTAATCTTAATTATTATTATCATATTAAGACTTGAGCATTTATTCTAAACTGTGTGATAAAGATTTGATAAAATAATTTATTATTATTATTATTATTTTAGCTTGTAGACCAATTAGCATTTACAAGTTTACTTTGCTGATATCAAGTTGATATAATCTCTCTCAGATAGGTAGGTACTAATTCTATTTTTCTTGTATTTATTATATTATTTATATTTGCTAAGTGATTAAATTCTTCAATTTAATTTATAAGATCTTTATATGCTTTATCATTATAAAAAAAGAGTGATACTATTGATAACTTATCTATTTTATTAATTTTACATTGTTTGGATAAGTAGGATGAGTGCTTGGGCTAAAGTTTATATAGCTTGATCCATTATTTCTTCTTCTTAATTTCTTTAGGATTATAGTGAAAATGAATCTAAAAGGATAGAAGGTTGAACTTCTTCTTTTAAAGATTCTTTTTCCATTATATTTCTGAATTAGACTAGAGCTCTTCTTTTATATAAAAAATTAGTAAAAAATATGTTAGAAGTTGAGCTTGAGATGAATGATAATGGAATTGATATAGAAATTCTGATTAGAATATTGATTAAAGTATTTGATCTTGATTACTAGATATAATGTGATCTTTATTAATTGAATATAATAACTTTCTCATACAAATTATGAATAATATTAGCAATCTCAGTTGAGATATAAGTCAAGTATTTTTTAATTCAAAGCTATAACTGATATTTGCTTATTGAAATTTCTTTTTTTGATATATCAATAATGAATAAATTATAAATTAATTAATATAATTTCTTTTCTTGTTATCTAAGTAATCAGATGGATTAAGAAAATTAACTAATTTTCTGAGTTATCTTTCTATTTCAAAGTTAATTAATTTTGTTAGATCCAGTTTGAATTACTTTATTGATTAATAATTTTATTTCTGATTTTATCTTCACAGAAAGAGTATCAAAAAGATTGTTATCATTTTAAACTTATATGTATATAAGTATTTTAAAATGACAATAGTAACTATATTCATAACAATTATTTACTTTTATAACTTCAAGAGATTATATGATTGATTATTTTCTCAATAAGATAATATATACAAGATTTATTTCTGACAAAATATGATTATCTTTTCAATAAGATAATTTATGTAAGTTTACTTCTGATCAAAATACTTTTTCAATAGAGCAAGAAGAAATAAAGATAAGATATATAATAAAATATATATATTTTATTAAAGAAAAATATCAATTAACTACTCTTAACTTAGTAACTAATTCTTTTTATCAAACTTAATTATTTTTCTTGATTACTTCTTAACTCTTTATATATAATATTTTCTTGCTATACTAATTACAAATCATTTCTAACATGATATTTTACTTAATTTACTCAAGAACAAGTAGAATTTGAAAAGAATAATCACAAGAAATATTAAATACATGATAATAAAGAATTAAAATTAGTAAAATATTAAGTTATTCAAAGTTAAAGTAAGAAATGAAAGAAAATTAATATTAATTAATTAGAAAATTATTAATTTAATAAAACTATAAATTAAATATGACACACATAACTAAATTAATAAATAAATAAGACTAAATATGAGTAATAATATAAATTAAAAATAAAATTAATAATGAATAATATAAATTTCTTGTTTGTCTAATTTAGTAGTGATTGATAATTACTATGTTACATAATGTGATTATGCCATATGTTATACTGTATCTACTGTATTACACAAATAGATGATTAATTACAATATCATAATAATAATATCAAAGTGCTTGTTATAATAAGAATCACTTTTATTTTTTCTATTAGAATTTGGAAATTTAATTTAATCAAAGAAGATATATTATTTTCTCATTATACAAGATAAGAAATCATATTTAATATTTCTTGAAATTAAGATATAATATCCTTACTATTTTCACTAATACTAGTTTCAAATATGCTAGCATTCTTACTTGATAAGTCACTTATCTTAAAGTTAATCTCAGTATTATTTTTTGATAATTCAATAATCTCATCATATCTTATTGAAATATCTAAAGATCTGATATATATTAAGATATTTTCATCAATTTTTTCAGCTTGATTCATATTTTTTCTACATATAAAATATTGTCTGAGACTTTTACTAGATTCAATAACTGCAGATATATCAATAAACTTGGTTATATTTTTTTCATTATCTTCACCAACTATTGTGAAGCAATAACTCAAAGAGAATATGAGTTTTGATATAATCTCTGGTTTTAGATATTCAAGTTTATTGATCTTCAATTTCAATTCACTCTTTATATTTTCTAATTCTGCTGTTTTGAATTTGAGAGATAAAATCTCAGATTCTTTTTTTGATGAGTTGTTTTGAATAGAAATCATATCTTTCTGGGCTGAAAATAACTTACCTTCCAATATCTTAACTATAAACTCAAGCGATCTAATTTTTTTACTATATACACAACTGCCTTCACAAAAACTCTGACGAGGTCCATATATAATATGTGTGCAGACGGTCTCACGGTCATAGGAACAAAAATAAAAACGATTACTTACAGTGAATATAAAGCAAGACATATGTAGTCTACATCATGATGATTCTCACGGTTGTAATCATTACCGAACGTTGATTCTTTTATTATCTGTCGGATCTCGTTCAAGTTTGTCTACGATAAAGAAAAGAGCTTGGTGATTTATTACAGTATAGATATGTTTGCTAGTAACGTGTAAAAGAAACATTTATTACCTTGCCAAGGAATTTACCTAAAAAATCGTCAATTTCGTTTGAAAGTTCGGGTACCTCTGGAATAGTTGCGCTTTCTATTTCCTCGAGTTCTTTTACAGTGAAATGTTCCATAATTAACTCATCTTCGACATCAAGAATAAAGGAATGAATGGCACTATGGAACAAAATTGCAATTTATTATGATAATCCCCATGAACATAATCTCACATGCATGAATACTTACTGTTCAAACTCCAAATCATTTCCGAGTTTAAACAACTCTTCTTCGACTATTCTCCCTGATGAAAGTTTCCACATATAACTTTTGTCCATCGCCCTATAGGCTTTCTCAACCTCCATTCGATTTTCATCACGCATTCTAAATGGCCCTTTCTAAATGGAAAAAGCAGAAATCCTTGTTATTCATAAAAAGTGTTAAAATCTCAATGAAGATATACCTTGTTTTCCTTTGCCACTTCCTTATTGTTGATCTTCTCTTTTACCTCTTCTTGATCATCGATCACCTCCTTCAAGAGTAGATGTGATGAGAATAGTAAACATTTACAGCTAACAACATATGCCAGATATAATTTACCTCATTATCTGCTGTATCCAAATCCGAATCGGCATCATCTTGTAATCCATGATCGGCCTAATAAAGATTTTCACAATTAGCAATTATCTGAATAGTAATAATTGAGCATAATGTGGATATTACCTCGCCCTTCTCGTTGTCTGTTTTGTTAGAAATATCTTGTTCAATTTCCGATTTCCGCAAAAACAGATTGGACGATTGTCGTTCGGAAGGACTTTGAATGTAGTTGTCGATCTCATTATTTAAATCCTACATAAAATAAGGGACATTAAAAATAAATTTGCAATTTAAGCATTAGCTATTTCTGCTGATTCTCACAAACACTAGCTAACAAAATGCATCTGTACCTTTTCCCGATCTCTTTTTGACTTATATGATTCGGATGATCCGGCAACGAACGTACTACCGGCTGTAGTTCCGTTGACAGTCCCATATATGGGCCCATGTATGGATCCATAATCAAAATAGGTCGGCTTATGGATGTGAGCTTGCATGCTCGCACATTCGCTCTCCCATTTCCTTGCAAGTTTGCGATCGGATTGAGGTTCCTGGAAATAGAAAATTCGAATATTCAGCATTATTCCTAACTACCATGTCTTAATTTACATCCGATTTCCAATCCCATCCGAACGTCAGGCAAGCTAATTGGTTTCCTGCGCCCAATGAGTCCAATGCTGGAAAGGCTAATTGACTTGAGGCATCAGGCAAGCTAATTGGTTTCCTGTGCCCCAACATTGGTTTGTGGCTCGGCTAATTGACTCGAATGGCAAAGAAGCTAGTTGATTCCTTGCCACGCCACTTCCTCAACTATTAGTTCCCTTGCTATAATACTTGTTAAAGAGAAACTGGGCTTTTTCTTTCCTATTTCCTTCCTCAAGGTTAATAATATTCTTAAGCCCTCTCAAGTATAAGTCTATTTTTAACCGGAATGATTCTTCTTCGCTTTCGGTTAAAAAACCTAAAAGACTCCATTCCTCGGGCTTTCGTTTAAAATAATCGTGTACTTTGTTACCTGACATTTATATTGTACTGTAAGGTTATTAAAAAAAATTTTTTTGACCCTTATCGTGTCTAATTTCCGTAAAAGGATAGACGAATGATCACATGATGATGACATATTTCAAAACAAACATAGTAACAAAAAAAATGACAGATCATGTGACTTCCGATCACATTCTGTCTTTCCGGAGGGGGTCCACTAAAGCCGGGTAGTATCATGTGATTTTGGATTCAATTCGGATCCAAATCATGTGAAAAATACACATGATAAGTAATATGTAAAAAATACACGTGATAAGTAAAGATTGTCTGAATAATTTTGATTAACAGATAACCATAATATTAATTGATTAACAATTGAGAATAAAGCTCATAATAATCAAAATAAAGCATATTTATTTTTTTGTAAAAAATAATAGTAATAAACATAATTATAAAATTAATTAACTTGTAAAATAATAAACTGTTATATTATTATCTTTTTGATACGAGTTCTGAGGTGAGGGTGAGTATTAAATCTAATATTACAAAAGCACATGATAAAAGTGACCACATACTTAAAGTGATATTTGGGAGAGTCTTTAAAAGATTTATTAACAAGAATATATTTACTATTATTTCAAAGTTAATCTAAAGATAGGTAATGATAGTGTTCTTGTTGTGACTAGCTAGAATGTAGCCCAATTCCAAAATGTAATTTCAAAACAGATGTAATAAAAAGTTTATTAACAAGACGAATTAATAGATCTTAATCAAGATTTATTTTACAAGAGAGATTCCTTAGAATTTTCTTAAAATTATAATCTACTAAAAATGCGAGTTGAAAACTAAACTCATAAAACTCAAACTAAACTAAATAACTAATTATCTGACTACTTAACTTACTAACTAACTTACTAACTGTCTGTCTAAATTCATTAGCTAAGATATATCACTTTTATATATTCTAGAGATTATACGAATAATACTTTTATTATGATACTTATATTAGTTTTGCTATAATTTAAATACTACTTTAGTTAATATCATAATATTGATTTTGTTATGATAGTATTATTAGTTTTGCTATGATAGTTTTGCTAACTTTGCTATGATAATTT